AACCAAGACTGCGTAGACCGAGCTTTATGACCTGGCGCCGAGTCTTGCTGGAAGGACCATTCTTGATTATTGAACATGGTGTTGTTAAGGGGCTTCACTACCTTCTCAAGAATGGTATCTTGATACACTTGTGCCGATGTTTTGATACCTTTTTCACAAAAGTATGGCTCAGTCACTCCTTCATAGCTAATACCCCACCAAACCATCACTGAAGTCGGATAGTGCCCACGTTGCACTCTGTCGACTAATTGGGAAGCTTCCTTAGAGCTTTGAACATAAATACGGTCATTTTGTTTGTTAAAATGTTGCTCAATTGTAAAAACTTTCTCATCCGTAAACAAAATTTTTCTAAGACCTCCCTTTGCGTACCGCTTCAGTAGTTGTTTCGATTTTACCACCCTATTCTCTTTTAAATTATCAGTTAAGAAATGACCAGTACGTCTCTTATAGGATGCAAGTCCTAAGTCATCTTTTAAAATACGCGACATGGTTCTAGGTGCTATCTTCATCTCCCGAGATAAAATCTTTTGCTTTCGGACAGGATTTCTTCGAATTCTTTCCCTAACTGCTTTGACCACCTTTTTCGTACGAACGTGGACGGCCAGATCTTTTTCTGTCACAAACAGAGAAGGTCTCATTGCACCTATTAATAGCCCGGTACACAAACAACAAACATTTTACTAATACCAAGCGTATGGAGAGTTTTAAAAATTGCATTTGGCTCCATACTTACTTTGTGTAATGCAATCACAGCGATTCGGTTCTCTTTATCACCCCACTCCATCTTAATATCGCAAAATATTGTACAATTTATCGGCGCCAAAATGAGAAAACTCAATGAGCAATCATATAAAAATGACATATTCCAAATTCAAATGTAATATTTTGTTTATTTTTAATTGTAACAGTATTTATGGCGACTAAGTAATTAATCAAATTATATGTATATGGGAATTGGTTAGGTCGCCATCTTATGACAGCTGTTTACCAAAAAAATAAACTTTGAATTTAGGGTTGTCAGTAAAATTCAATATATGTGTGTTTGAAAAGGACCTTTATTTATAGAAACTTATTTATCTTCTATTTATTATTACATATTATAAAAAAATCAACAAAGTTATAATCCTGCGGTAGAATTCAAATAATTACAGTGGTTAATCACCCCATTCCGTATAGAGAAATTGGTCTTCGATTTGGTAAGAATCACTTGTTTTAGTAATTTTATCATTGTTTACGTACCTAACTATGCGTCTTTGATAGGATGTCAGGATTTCGGGTTTGGCAGACCAATTCCACCCTGTATAGTTCTTCTGCATCACAGATATTTTGAACATTTGATCATCTACCTTAATGATTCGGCCTGGGAAGACATTTTTCGTACTTAAATATTTTTCTATTTATTGCTTTGATGGTTGGACGAGCTCACAGCCCACCTGGTGTTAAGTGGTTACTGGAGCCCATAGACATCTACGACGTAAATGCGCCACCCACCTTGAGATATAAGTTCTAAGGTCTCAGTATAGTTACAACGGCTGCCCCACCCTTCAAACCGAAACGCATTACTGCTTCGCGGCAGAAATAAGCGGGGTGGTGGTACCTACCCGCACGGACTCACAAGAGGTCCTACCACCAGTAATTACGCAAATTAAAATTTGCGGGTTTGATTTTTATAACACGATGTTATTCCTTTACCGTGGAAGTCAATCGAGAACATTTGTTGAGTACCTATTTCATTAGAAAAATTGGTACCCGCCTGGGATTCGAACACCGGTGCATCGCTCAACACGAATGCACCGGACGTCTTATCCTTTAGGCCACGACGACTTGAAACAATACACAATACCGGCCACAGTTTTGTCCTTTCCTTTTTTTTGTTTTTTATATCATCTATTTTCGTCAAAGTCCCTTCGTGCTCTTCATAGTCTACTGTAATATCCTCTCTGTAAGTTTAAGAAGTACCTACGAAAGACGGTAGCTTCAATATCAAATGAGAATTCAGCGGTGGGTGATGGAACATGATTGGTAGGTGGGTCGACTGTGTATGTCGATTTTATATTCGAAGGACCAGGAGTAGGTGATAAAGAACGAGTAGTAGGCAAAAAAAACTGCCGATGCCAGTCCCAAACCTGGATGAGAAAAGAGGAGGGTTGGGTTGGAGTTCGACTTTTTCACCGTAAAACCGTCAACGCCGAATGTGGGGCGGCGGTTAAATAGCCTGACCCAAACAAGGCTTCAGCGGCCTCGAAGAATTAAATCTCTTCCAATGGCACTGCCGTGGAAGGACGTGGGACCCCACCATGCGTACTTTCCCAAAAAAGACTCATTTAATATACAGAATCTAGATCAAGTGACATCGGCGTCGGTCGTAACAGGCAAGGTATGCGAAAGAAGGCCCAGAGGCAGAAGTTCAATGCGCTGGTCGGACCAGATACGCTCCACTCTCAATACTTCAGTCCACGTTGCTATCCACACAGCCAAGGATAGACAGGAATGGCGCAGGATAATACAGGAGAAAGTTGTTAGAGGCTACAACGTATACAGCCAGACGTCGTGACTGACATTCGAGTGACGGATGGAGCATCTTTATTCCAGTTTTTGGTTTGCTTTGTATATAACATACAATGGTACAAATTCACCTTCAGCATTTGCGCAAAACATTACAGTAAAACAGGATTTAGTAGAATTCCGAATTATTTCTGGGTTCCTGCACTCTCGTTTGACAAGAAGCTTCTTCTTCTTTGGATTCGTGAATACCTGTTTCATCAAATATATAGATGTTCCCGGCTGGAACACTTTCAAGCTCAGCACTTAAATTATAAAAATATTGCTCAACTATTTCTTTACTAACTTTGGCACGCTTTTGGCCAATAGAAAGAGCAGCCTTTTGCTTAATATACTTATGGCGCTCTAAGAAAAGTTTACCCCAATAACACGCAGGCAAATTGTTTTTAAAAATTTTGACATGTTTGTTGTTGTCATCGAGATAATTTTTAACAATAACCCTCACATCTTGCATACTTATTGGTACGCCATTGTCGGATAAGGCAATTATGTGAAAGTATATCACTTTCCTCCTCTTCTGCTAACAGTGCAGGGGGCTTGCCAACAGGTTTGCTGTGTTGATTTTTTAATTTATATTTTAATGTGCTTCTCGGAATATTGTAAGTCTCAGAAGCGACTCTTTGTGACATTTTACAGGATTTTATGTCATCTAGGGCCTTTTTCAGTGTCTCTTCTGTATAACGAGTCTTCTTACCGTATTTTCGGGTACCACGCGCTGGACAAGATCTTCTTCTGGCCATTATCACCGACTGAAACATAAAAGGACAACCCTAATTAAAAATTAGTTTAATTTGGGTATCTTTGGCCCGGGTTAAACTTACCCATATTATCACAAATTTTCACCAAACGAATTAAAATCAAGACAAACATGTAAACAACAATATAGATCATATTGTTTTTTTTATGAAACTACACACCTGTAACCTTTAATTATTATAAAAAGTACTAACTTACCTTTCTATGAAACTTTTGAGTTTGAATATAAACAACTTTGCAGCGTTGTTTCATTTATCACCTCCTTACCACTTCACAATTAACCTCAAGAAAGAAAAGTTTTGCTGACAAATGTCAAAATATGGCGCGCTTTCTTCGTTCAATTATAAAAATCTTAATTATAAATTTCAAAGTGTATCCCGTTTGGAAATATAAAAAAAAAAATATGTAAAAAGTGAGTAAGTGGGCTAATGTGAAACGGAAAGCTTTAAGTTACCCTGATTGATGGTAAGTGAAGTGATAACGCGGTAAATTCAAATTTAAGGAAAATACTAATTGGTTAGGGTGGTTTTCCTTTACATTATGTTAACACATTTGCTGCCGACGAAATGATATAAAATTATTAGCCAGAAATCAATTATTTTTATAGCGTATATTGATTAAGTATATATGTATGTTTAAAAATATGGATGAAAGTATGTTGATAATATTATTATTTTAATAAAAAAACACCTTTTTCGGATCCGAGTGGTCGGCACATAGCACGCCAAATGCCGGACACTCGGATCCGAAAAAGGTGTTTTCTCGGATCCGAGTACAATCAAAAGTATCAANATGTATGTTTAAAAATATGGATGAAAGTATGTTGATAATATTATTATTTTAATAAAAAAACACCTTTTTCGGATCCGAGTGGTCGGCACATAGCACGCCAAATGCCGGACACTCGGATCCGAAAAAGGTGTTTTCTCGGATCCGAGTACAATCAAAAGTATCAAAAACATCATAATTATAAGTTTAAGTTTAAAATATAACACGCACTTAACGGTTATTTATTTAAGAAGGTATAAATGTTTTAAATCTAAGCGAAGCAATGATATAATCATAATTATCAATACAATCAAACGTATAAAAATCATAATTATAAGTTTAATTAAAACACTGAAGGTGATTTCTTCACAGAAAAGTTAAAACAAAATTTGAAAATAAACATTCGTTGATAATCACCTTTTACAAAAAAAAAAAACTAAATGACAGCCACATACACACACACATAGACAGACAGACTGACACGTCAAACGTATTAAAAACTTTTTTGCGTCGGGGGGTTTTAAAATTAAATATGGTTATAATTATAATTAAATATGGTAATATTATAATTAAATATGGTAATAAATTAAATATGGTTTTAAAATTAATATCAGGAATGCGCAAGGCAGAAACATTTTGTGCAAAAACCTGGAGAATTTTCGCATTGCTTGCATTCATAAATTGTTTGCACTCTCTTTTTCTGCGCTTTGCAACCTTTGCATTCTTTTCGGGCCACTTCTGTAGTTTCTTTAGTTATATTTCCTACTTTCTTCGTTCTCACCCGGACCTTTTCTATTTTAGTGAGTTCATGTTTCATTTTTAAAACATTGCGTCGATTGACATCATTAGGATTAGGTAAAAGCTTCTCCAGTATCTTCAAACGAAAATCATATAGATTTAATTTGTCGTTCGGCGAAAATTTGTTGTACAAGTGCAATGAATTAGTGAGGCTCATTTGCAGCACATGTACGAACAGCTTCTTGTACCAACGCAGCGTCTTCCTTTGGACTGGATAGTAAGCCAACATCTGATCTTGAAGATCGACGCCTGACATAACATTATTATAATGGACAATGGCCTTTGGTTTCAATGCTACAGATCCCCTTTTGGAAGTAGTTTCCACCATCTCATTATCGTGTTCTGTAGAAATATAGAGTACGTAACGTTTATCCCTCCATCTTCCTACATGAACACCGTTCAGGAATAAGGATTTGTTTTCTCCTTTTTCCAATGAGACAGACCCAATTTCAACAGGGTTATCTCTACGGTTTTTTCGTAAAGTTCCTGTGCAGTACGTCTGTCGATCTAGCAATTTCACAGCCAAGCCATAAGAATTATAATAATTATCCATGTATACATGGTGGCCGCAGTCCAGTCTCTCTTCTAGAAGTTTGAAGACGATCTTACTACAATGACCTGGCCCTGATGTCTCATCGTTTGAACCGGCGTTAACTTGAAATTTTAAAACGGTACCATCCGGTTCAGCTAAAACATAAAGTTTTACGCCATATTTATGACGCTTGTTCTTTATGTATTGTCTGAACAGCAATCGACCGCGCCACAATACCATAGACTCATCCAATGACAACTCTTTGCCCGGACTATATATAGTGTTCATTTTATTATTAAAATGATCCATGAATGGGCGAATTTTAATAAGACGGTCTCCTTCACTTGATTCAGACGAAAAATGTAGGCACCGCAATATTAGAAGAAAACGATTACGAGACATGAATTGTCCGAAGCATGGAGTATTAAATAAATGGTGCCGCTTCCAATAATCACTTATACGATTAAGTCGTATTGTTCCTGTATGGAGAAGAAGTCCTATAAAGGTGAGCAGTTCGTCCCTGGTTACATCTCTCCAAGATTTTATTCTAGAGGTCTGCTTGACATTTTCTGAAGAAGCAACTCTAGCTGCGTTTAAATTTGTCTCTCGCACAATAAGGTCTAATAACTCGTTGTCGATTATTAGACGGAATGCCTCGTAAGGATCAGTCGGAGGCGGCACTAAGAGTTCCTGTTCTTTGGTAAAATCAATTTTCTTCATGCAACTCGGATCAATGCTCCAGGTGCTCGTGGCTCCTTGACGAGAAGGTGAAATATCAAGCAATGGGACATCATTGTTATCAGCAGGTAAGTCGGGAGAACTGCATTCAGATCGCCGAAATGACAAAATAGAAGGAGAGGCTGCATCACGTTCCGACGAAAAGTTTGGAGTTACCACATCAGATCTCAGAAGAGACACGCTAGGAGTTGAAGGGTTAAATAGAATGCTATCAGGTATGTCAGGCATATCTCCATAATCTTGAACGATAGCCGGCATTATTGCACGGCAGTCAATTTCATAATTGAACTCAAAATTACTAGTTCCCTCAATTTCTAGTTGGCGAGGCGCTCGCATCGATATTGATCTATGTGTATGTGGATCTGGTGATAGTCTAGGTTGAGCAGATTTATCACGCGTACTTGGTACGTGGCCAAACTTAGGTCTAAATCTCTTACATGGGCTTCCATCTGACTCACATAACCCTCGTTTTGATGTAGATGAACTTGAAGGTTGAGCTGGTGGTACACGGCTGGTCGACTTTGAAGCAGGTGATCTTAAAATAAAATAAAATATTAATTACAATTTACTGTAAAATATAAATAACAAGCTTCCGCCGCCGGCTTAACAAACATCCATACATACACACATACCTACATCCGTAGGTACATCCTCACAAAGTTTCACATTTATAATACTAGCTTCCGCCCCCGGCTTTGCCCGCGTATAATAAGTAGCCTATGTGTTATTCTAGACTATAATCTATCCCTATACCAAATTTCATCCAATTCCATCCAGTAGTTTTTGCGTGAAAGAGTAACAAACATCCATACATACACACATACCTACATCCATACATCCTCACAAACTTTCACATTTATAATATTAGTAAGATAAGATAGTAAGATTAGTAAGATAGTACAAGTACAGAAGGCCCTATGCTTTGATGTTGAAGAATACCTACAGATACATAGTCATTGGACATACCTTGAAGGTGGAGGTGGTGGAATACGGTTTGTCGTCTTTGCGGCAGATGACCTTGAAGACTGAGCTGGTGGTCCACGGCTGAGCGTTTTCGGTTTCAGTCTTGTATCAAAGATACTGTCATCACTGCCGCAACTAGATTCCTCTGAACTTGAAGACAACTGCTCCTCCTGAGCTCGTTGCGAACACACTTCTTCATCACTAAATCCTTCAGAACCTTCCGAGTCATCACTCAACCAACGTTGTTTTCTACTACTAGGTGTTGATGTTTTCGATCTATTTTTACTTCTAGATGGCCCAGCCCTACTATCCATTTTGATCGAACAATACCTTTGATATGATCGTGTGTACCAGTCACTATTAAACTGTAAATATAAAACCAATACGCGTTTTCGTAAGTCGAATGTATTGGCAGAGTGGCCACGCAAACCAACGTACACTCGCNACTAGGTGTTGATGTTTTCGATCTATTTTTACTTCTAGATGGCCCAGCCCTACTATCCATTTTGATCGAACAATACCTTTGATATGATCGTGTGTACCAGTCACTATTAAACTGTAAATATAAAACCAATACGCGTTTTCGTAAGTCGAATGTATTGGCAGAGTGGCCACGCAAACCAACGTACACTCGCCACAATCGCCGGCGGCTTACTGACAACTACAAAATTCACTTGCTGCTCACTCGTATCCGAGTGGGCGGCACCGCTAATAGGGCCCCTCCCCACTCGGGTACGAGTGGTAAGCACTCAATGTGTTAACTAGGTATTGGTACGCCACGTCCGTATCCGCCTTGGACTGGGCTAAGGAAGAAATGGGCATCTTTGGTGCGGAGACCAACTTCAATTCGATTTAGTGCAGGAAAGATATGTATATGTCGCAGTCTTAGTAAATGTTATCGATCGAACTTAGTCGGAAACGTCAAGTAGTTGCCTTGGGTAAGATCGTTACAGCAATGGCAACACTAATTTCCGACGGCTTGATGTTTGAGTCTGTTTGACAGTTGACGTTTAAGGTATAATTTTACGGTAAAAAATGGACCGCCATCATTGGTCACTTGCATCGCTGTAACGAACTTACCGCGTTACTCGACCAATCTCAATTTAGCCGTTCGATCATTAGTGATTCTCTGTAAATTTGCTTGCTACAGTGAAAATAAACGTCTGCATTTATTGTGTCAACTGTTATTTTGAGTTCACGGCAATGTGTGACCAAACTAATAATCTTAAGATTGAGATAGCTCACCATTTTATCTAGCTCGTTTGGCGTTCTCACTCCAACCGCATCGACGGCTTCGTTATCCAACACGACACTATCCGAGTTAGCCTTGTTTTTACTTTCAGTATTATTTTCCCTATACACATCACAGCCATCTTCGATTTTCATCTCAACGATTTTGATAGCTCGCTGAAAACATAAAGACGACACTGCATTGATATTGGCATCAAGCGAGCCCAAGGAATCACAAAAGTCTTCATCTATACTAATACCTAGTCAGGTCATAAGTATTGTCACACAGTAAAAACTTTTCTTTTAGAATGCTGGCCACAAAAAAGTTTATTGAATTCGAATTTCGAATTGTTCATGAAAATAAAAATGTATACTTTTAGAATTTTACTCATTTTTAAATATGGAGTGGACGCTTAAAGAAGACCGTGTTGCAGTTATTGCGTTGCATCGTTGCNTGTATACTTTTAGAATTTTACTCATTTTTAAATATGGAGTGGACGCTTAAAGAAGACCGTGTTGCAGTTATTGCGTTGCATCGTTGCGGTTACGCGCCAATTCAAATTTTTAACATACTGAAAAATTTGAATATAACCAAAAGATTCGTTTATCGTACCATCAAACGATACAATGAAGACTCTAGTGTAGATGACAGGTCAAGAGGTGGTCGCCCTCGGTCTGTTAGGACTCCAGCAGTGATAAAAGCTGTGAAGGCGCGAATTCAAAGAAATCCCAAACGTAAGCAGAAACTGTTGGCCCTTCAGATGGGATTAAGCAGAACCACGGTGAAAAGAGTGTTAAATGAAGACTTAGGGCTTCGGGTATATCGAAGAAAAACAGGACATCCTTTGAATGCTCCTCTAATGGACCTGAGACTGAAGAGATGCCGGGCTTTGTTGAAGCGGTACGCGGGAAAAAAATTTCGAGAAATTCTTTTTTCGGATGAACAAATTTTTACCGTAGAAGAGAGCTACAACAAACAAAATGATAAGGTGTACGCACACAGTAGTGAAGAAGCGAGCAACCGTATTCCGCGTGTCCAACGAGGTCATTTTCCATCCTCGCTCATGGTATGGTTGGGAGTTTCTTATTGGGGCTTTAGAGAGGTACATTTTTGTGAGAAAGGTGTAAAAACGAATGCAGTTGTGTATCAAAATACAGTCCTGACGAACTTTGTGGAACTTGTTTCTCATACCATGTTCAATAACAGGCACTGGGTATTCCAACAAGATTCGGCGCCAGCTCATAGAGCGAAGAGCACACAAGACTGGCTGGCGGCGCGTGAAATCGACTTCATCCGGCACGAAGACTGGCCTTCCTCCAGTCCAGATTAGAATCCGTTAGATTACAAGATATGGCAACACTTGGAGGAAAAGGCGTGCTCAAAGCCTCATCCCAATTTGGAGTCACTCAAGACATCCTTGATTAAGGCAGCCGCCGATATTGACATGGACCTCGTTCGTGCTGCGATAGACGACTGGCCGCGCAGATTGAAGGCCTGTATTCAAAATCAGGCAGGTCATTTTGAATAAACTTTAGTATCATAAGAATCTATGTTTTGTTAAGTTCATTTTGGTATATGAATGGTTACATAATGAATAAACTTGTTTCAATTATTTTACATTAAACATGTGACAGAATTTATGACCTGACTAGGTATTATAAAGCTTGAAGAGTTTGTTTGTTTGAACGCGCTAATCTCAGGAACTGCTGGTCCGATTTGAAAAATTCTTTCAGTGTCAGATAGCTCATTTATTGAGGAAGGCTATAGGCTATATAACATCACGGTAAGACCAATACAAGTGGAGCACTAATAATGAATGTTTCAAAATATGGGGGTTTAAATAGCTCCTTAACATTCTATAATTCAAATGTATTTTCACTTTCTACGTAAATGAAGTGGGGGTAAAATTTAGCGTTATGCCAAAGTAACTATTCCACGCGGACAGAGTCGCGGGCAAAAGCTAGTATCTAAATAAAACTGATTCCCTGAAACCTATTCGCAATCCGGTATTAGAAGGTAGCGTAGAACATCTTTTTTTTTTCTTAGATGGTTGGACGAGCTCACAGCCCACCTGGTGTTAGGTAGTTACCGGAGCCCATAGACATCTACAACGTAAATGCGTCGCCCACCTTGAGATATAAATTCTAAGGTCTCAGTATAGTTACAACGGCTGCCCCACCCTTCAAACCGAAACGCATTACTGCTTCACGGCAGAAATAGGCAGGTTGGTGGTACCTACCCGTGCGGACTCAGGTCCTACCACCAGTAAAATCTGGTCATCTGGTAATAAATTTCCCGAAACGCGATATACAAAGATACAAGAGACTTACAAATCTTAACAAAATAATATGTAGAGGTGAAAGGCTGTTTGGTTTAAGTGACATTTGAGCAATTTTACAGGAGAGCCATTTAAATAAATAAAAAAAATGGAAAAATATAATAACAAAAAAACACGTGTGGCGCGGGGACTGCCGCGGTAAAGCTATTGCAAAGCATTTTTTATCAACTTATGCAATTACAATTAGACAATAATCATTTAATATTAAAACAGTAATAAAAATAAGACCACGCTGTATTTATAAACAATAACAAAAGCAAAACTGTACTGCCCCCTTCGCACTCATAAACTAGAGCTCGCGAGAGAGAGATGGGCAGACTTTTCATTATGCGCATGCAGTGTGACGTCACGCCACGCGCTTATTCACACACAGTACACAAGCGCAGCGTGTGAATGTGTTGAACGCGGGCTACATGGTAGGTGGAGTGGGGGGTGTTAGGTTTTATTTTCGTTACGGAATTCTTTGATTCATTCGCCGCGCTCAAAGCCTGCGATAAAAGCTATGCAATGGCTTAAAAACTCTTCTTCGGCTATTCGTATGGAGTAAGCTTAATTGAAGTTCAATTACAAACATCGAACTGTTGCTGCTGATACCAAATAAAACAGAACTTTAATTACAAAGATAAATGTCACGTGTAAAAGCGAAATGTCGCTTAAGCCTTTCACGGGTCGAATTATGTTATAATAATGTTATGCCCGTACGAGTGACGCCATATGCCGTCAAACACCAGAAACGGATATCGAAACGACTAGAACTATCGAGAACGTTCGAGAAGCGTAACGCCATCTATTGTCATATAACGAAAATGGATATCGAAACGATTAGTAATGGAAATGTTAGGGGACATATCGTGTCGACAAAAGCGTTGAAAAGATGATATGAAGGCAGTCAATAATAAGTTCTAGTCGGAACGGAAACAGCGTATGGATCACCTGAAGCGAAGCGAACGAAGTGTACAATGAAAATATTGATATTAACATTAAGTGTATGAAAAATACCAATCCTAACCAAGGTAAGCTTATCGCACCTCTTTAAAGTTCTCACCGTCGATGTAGTTTCCATCAAAGTCACCGTCCTCGTCAAAGAGATCATCTTTCAATGGATTCGTACTGAATTCTTGTGATACGTTATTCTCAGTTATAATTTCATCTTCATTTTCAGCTTTACATATTTTGCTTTCCGTGTTCACTATATTGATCGTTTGAATGGAGGTTTTCTGGAGACGAAGAGTTCCATTCCTGACTGGTACCTACAAGAAAAGTTGTTGTAAAAGAGCATTATGTAATGTGTATATTAGTAATGTTATGTAAGAACACACTGGTAAGTAGTTTTCTGTATTTTGCCACAGACTCATAGGTTCCATTCTGGAGTATGTGACTCGATATTTGCTCAATACACTACAAATAAGACTTCGGCTCTGTCTAAATCTAGGGGCAGTATTTGCATTATATTTGGCTGGTTTTTGTAGCGACTTAACACTGGTAGTGTTGTTAGCTTCATGCACCAATTCGTACACTGCAATTGAAGACGAAGCTCTTACTATGCAATTCGGTTATGGTTTGAAGTTTTGATAAGGCAGTTTGTGAACTAACCTGTTCCGTTAGAATCTTAAAGCTTCGTAGCGTTTGATTTTTAAAGTTTTGAAATTTTCTCAATAAACTGTGACATAGACAGCAGACAGATGCATTAGGAAGCTTTATCTGAAATTTACTCTGAAATTTAATAAATAAAAAAAACTCAGTTTTTTTAAGCTGAAAATAATCAATTGGTATAAAAGAAATTATGGAGTGTACTGTCATTAAAATTCATACAAAATTTTTCATTTGTTCATTGTTTCTGATCATTCAAATCAAACTTAAGCAACATGATTCAAATCTAAGACAGAATTCTTCTATGCTTTTACTGCTACAACAACGACAGTTGAATTCCTAAGTATAGTAGTGGTGATAATTGCAAGTGCCAGTGTCGATTGAAGTCTGCAGTAGATTGAGTGCTTATGATCCATTCAGGGACTGTAGACTTCAGAGGTAGCGAGAATGCGTGCCATATTACTATGACGTGCAATGAACAAGCTGCGACGGTGGCTGGCTATGGTATTAAATACAACACTCCCAGTGTCTGGACATGAGACTGAGCCACACACTACACTGTGCCATTGACCGACAAGTTTTTTTTTTATTGCCCTTGTAGGCAGACGAGCATACGGTCCATCTGATGGTGAGTTGTTACCGTCGCCCATGGACTTCAGCAATGCCAGGGGCAGAGCCAAGCCGCTGCCTACCGCTAAACTACAATTTACCGCTAAAAAAGATCACAGGCGGGCGCATCACGATGCTCAGCAATGAGCGGTCGACTGAAGGAGGAGAGGAGGATCCTAAAGGAGAGCTCTTAGACTTATTCTTGCGTTTTTAATGTACAAAAACCGTGAAAGAATTGAAATGTCGCAAACGATGTAAAGAATTTTTCGTGGTCTCCGACGACCACAGGTTCGGAGCTGAGTTTTAATTCCGTTAAAGCTAATACGAAGTTTAAAGTAAATCCCATTTACCTTGTAACATTCAAAGAAACTCTTGTGTTTACATGTCGATAGACTTACTAAACGAATATCTTGTCTTAAACAACAAACACATATAGTTTCGTATTTTTTAATGAATTCTGATGCATTACTCCGTTCCGTTGTACTTATATTAGCATATGATGTTACGTTAGTGATTTTTAAATCCATTTTTTGTATTTAATTGTATACCTAGTCCAATCTTAGTACATTATTGTAGTAAACAACAATGGCCGACGCTGCGACAAGTAACCAAAGACAATGTATAGTGTTGCAAAATGATAAAATGACTAAATTAATGGCTAGGATTCTAGGATAGCTCGCGAATGTAAGATAATGAACTAGTTTCCATTATGATATATATCTCTCTTTAACTCAAAAAGCAATTCAGAAAGCAAGTACAAGACTTGCTTTCTGAATCGTAGTAAGCTTTAATGTTTTAATTTAAATTTATATTGTGTTGCAAGTGCAGCCGCGGTTGTAGCTAGTACCAAATAAATAACATTCATTTTTCAGAATTCCTATCAAATAAACAATTTGTCAATATGTGTAGAAAAGGGCTTGGGTAGGTACCACCATCCTGCCTATTTCTGCCGTGAAGCAGTAATGCGTTTCGGTTTGAAGGGTGGGGCAGCCGTTGTAACCATACTGAAACCTTAGAACTTATATCTCAAAGTGGGTGGCGCATTTACGTTGCAGATGTCTATGGGCTCCAGTAACCACTTAACACCAGGTGGACTGTGAGCTCGCCCACTCATCTAAGCAATAAAAAAAAAGAGTCGAAATCGTTTTTATGAGAGAGCCTTTAGGGTGAAATAAAAAAAGCCATAAGAATTTAAATTTATTTATTAATAATACAATGATTCACTGCTTAGAACATGCTTAGAATTAGTATGGCCATCACTGGATAATACTGGAATTATCTCTTGAGCATGTTAGATAGAAATAAAGAATACCATTTTGTTTAAGGGACAAGTTGAAAAAGTGTCCACCAGTGTCCAGACCCAGTGATTTATTGTTGGAAGGCTCACCAAAATAGCGCTAATGTAGGAAGTGGAAGTTATATGAATATATCAGTTTTAAGCAGAATGAAGTGTGCTGGCTTGAAAAATATTATAGTTTTCGTGACTAGTGTAGTTAAAAAAATGCAATATAATTTTTTATTACTATTTATGTAGTGTATTTCTTTCCTTCATAATATAGTGGGTTATAATTAAATGCCTTAACTTTAACCAGGGTCCTGAAACTGCGATGCTTTAAGACAAATATTTTGTTTATATGGAAACTAGCGACATCTTGTAGCGCATGCCCCTAAACTTATATGTTGTTTAAGTTAAGGCATTTACTATTTACATTATACATTACTGTATAACTAAATACAAAATAAAAAAACTAATAAATCATACAAGTCTATTTGTTATAGTATAGACAAATTGAATAAAATTTTATCAATTTGTGGTTTCTGAATATTTTCAAAATCCTTCATTAAAAATAAAATGTAGAATAGGTAATATGTTACTGCCATCTACAGGAGCAATGAGCAACTAATCGAAGCGAAGCCATCTAGTGGCCCGTAAACAGTTTTGTTGAGTGCTCTTTTTTTTTTTTTTTTTTTCTTCCTACCTCAGCTGATAGCCTTGAGAGGCTATGTCAGCGTAACCCTAACTTTAGTAGGTGAGCTCACGGGGCTCAAACCTGACGATGTTGCTAACACGAACCCTAGCAAGAGTCGTGCTTTGCAGAATCTACCACCGGATCGGAAACGCGACCCACTGAGAAGATCCGGCGAGAAACTCAGTGGGCTGTGTCTGAGAGTTAATTTACTCGTCGAGCCCTTCGTCGCAAGCGACGGGTTCGACGAGAACGGTGACCGGTGCTTGAGGTACCTAAAAGCACCGTTAGTGGATCGGGAGGATCCGAAATGACGTGTTTTGGGCGACGTCGACTGCTTTCCATTCTGTCCGCAGGATCGGGAATGTAGTTACCGGCGGCCACGATGAGAGGGTTCTCGTGTCGTGCCGCTTTATCGAAGTGGCGCATGGACGCCGACTGCAGATACTTACTGATGGACTCTAAGTCCAGGTCGTCATGGAGGTCGACGTTCCTGACGAACCACGGGGCTCCAACGGCTATCCTGCAAAAACGGGATTGAATGATTTGGAAGGATTTTAAGTGTATGCGGGCCGCGTGAGCGAACACTACACTTGCATAGGTCATGACGGGGCGTATGCAAGTTTTGTAGAGTGTCACCTTATTTCTAAGGGACATTTTACTTCGCCTACATATCATCGGGTAGAGACGTCCTAGAATGAAGGCGGCACGATCGCGTACCGTTTTGATGTGGGGGCGGAATGTCATCCTACTGTCGAGGGTGACGCCTAAGTATTTGACCTTCGGGGCCCACGGTATGGGCTGGTCGAACATCGTGATTGGGCGAACGGCGGGGGCGGAGGTGTTGACGCGCCTAGTCGGGAGGGGGATGCTCAGCGTGGTGTTCGGAGGGCGAGAGTTGAGTGCTCGAGTTGCTTATCTATGACTTTAACAACGTATAAGTTTAGGGGCATCCGCTACAAGATGTCGCTAGCTTCCATACAGAAAAATATATTTGTCTTAAAGTATCGTAGTTTCAGGGCCCTGTTATGGTCATTTCGCTCGTTAATTATGGTCATTTACGCTTCTGACCGCCGTGTAAGAGTCTAGTGTGATTATAAAGAGCGGCAGAATGAGCGAAATCCGCTGTGCAAAACGAACATTTCAGGGGTCGTTGACCCGTATGCGCGCGTAAATGTGACATCAGAATTGAATTGGTCTGAAAAAATGAACAAAAATTAAAACATAGCCATAGTAGTGTAACAAAAATCACGTTATCGCGTTGTAGAAGTACCGCGTTATAAGACGGTCCTTGGGGTTTTTCACCGGTCACCATCCTCGTCAAACCCGTCGCTTGCGACGAAGGGCTCGACGAGCGAATTAACCCACAGACAGCCCACTGAGTTTCTCGCCGGATCTTCTCAGTGGGTCGCGTTTCCGATCCGGTGGTAGACTCTGCGAAGCACTGCTCTTGCTAGGGTCAGTGTTAGCAACTCTCCGGTTTGAGCCCCGTGAGCTCACCTACACACGCTAGGGTAAGCTGACATAGCCTCTCAAGGCTATCAGTATAGGTAGAAAAAAAAGGGGTTTTTTCTTTTCGTGTTACAGTGGAACTGTGTTTTAAAATTCCGTGTTGTACTAGAGTTATATCTACTAATTTTTTTTCAGGCCAGGGGCGAACCTCCTAAGCGGTCCCCGCGCATAAAGGGCGCGCGGGGTATGTGGGATTTGACGATCTGCAGATGTTGGGAGCTAACCGCGGGCCCAAGCAGTTTTAGGGTCCTATCGCACTAAGCGACTCCCCTGAACTCTTACACCCGACGTCCGATCTCCGCCCGGAGTCAGAACCCGGTCAGAGTGAGAAGATTCGCGCGGTCAACACTACAGCCAGACTCGCGAAGCCAGGGCTATATTTTTTGTTTTTTTTTTATTACATGGATGGGTGGATGAGTTCACAGCCCACCTGGTGTTAAGTGGTTACTGCCTGGTGTTAAGATATAAGTTCTAAGGTCTCAGTATAGTTACAACGACTGCCCCACCCTTCAAACCGAAACGCATTACTGCTTCAAGGCAGAAATAGACGGGGTGGTGGTACCCGCGCATACTCACAAGAGGTCTTAAATAATTACGCAATTTGTAATATTGCGGGATTGATTTTTACTACACGATGTTATTCCTTCACCGTTTAAATCAATCGTAAACATTTGTTTAGTACGTGTTTCATTAGAAAAATTGGTACCCGCCGGCGGGATTCGAACACCGGTGCATCGCTACATACGAATGCACCGGACGCCTTATCTTTTAGGCCACGACGACTTCAATGTACTAACTACTAGCTCAACATTGTTACTCACGGTGAAGGCTTCTCCGCAATAATCACAGATCTTATCGCGCGGGGGACGTTTCTTCTCGTGTACATACGAATCATGTTTCTTTAGCGACGCGGACGACCGGAATACCTGCCAATGTAATCTTATTTCGTTTTATCAGCACGCTTTTTGTTTTCTCTGTCACATCGAACTCTTTTTTTTATTGCTTAGATGGGTGGACGAGCTCACAGCCCACCTGGTGTTAAGTGATTACTGGAGCCCATAGACATCTACAACGTAAATGCGCCACCCACCTTGAGATATAAGTTCTAAGGTCTCAGCATAGTTACAACGGCTGCCCCACCCTTCAAACCGAAATGCATTACTGCTTCACGGCAGAAATAAGCAGGGTGGTGGTACCTACCCGCGCGGACTCTCAAGAGTTCTTACTGGTCCTACCAACAGTAAAAAATCCACTCTTATGAATCCTTAGACTGCCGTGTAGGTCACAGGTGCCCTACGCGGCGCACTGAAGTAATTATATGTCGAATTCTGTTAATAAGGCGCCAGAAAATAAAATAGAATTTTTAAGAAAATAAAATTTTTGTATACTGAACTACATTGCTTCATTAAATTTCAAGAAACGTCATTGGTAGATCGCATAGTGTTTTGTCAGTAGACAGTAGATCTTGGTTCTAATTAAGTTGGCCACCTACGCTATAGGTTATCTTCCGCGGCTGCTTCACGTCAGATCTGTTCAGAAATCTTAGGGTTGATGGATATTAGTTAACACGTACCATCCGGCTATGGAATGAGCTCCCCTCCACGGTGTTTCCCGAGCGCTATGACATGTCCTTCTTCAAACGAGGCTTGTGGAGAGTATTAAACGGTAGGCAGCGGCTTGGCTCTGCCCCTGGCATTGCTGAAGTCCATGGGCGACGGTAACCACTCACCATCAGGTGGGCCCTATGAACGTCTGCCTACAAGGGTAATAAAAAGAAAAAAACAGATAGAAAGACATACCTTATCGCATTTCACGCACCGATGATGTCTCATGAGCAAATGCTCCCATTCTATATGACTGCGAAGCGATTGTTTGTTCGCGAATTTGCCTTCGCAATCAGCGCATTCAAATCTAAAACGTGAGCACTTAGCTTGTGTGTGGAACTTCAGACAACAGAGCTTAGCAAGCATCGATTGGTTAAGCTCCCAATGGCGGGAAAATGGTGACGGTTTAATCTTATCCGACCTGATTTAGGGGTAGGCCTAACCGTCCAGCAGTGAAGCGTTCCGGTCCAAAAGTTGGGACACGAATTAAGACAATTGAGACTTCGATTGGTCGACCTCACGTCTCTAGGTAGCCGAATTCGAGCTGTGAAGTCCATGGGCCCCGATAACCACTTTAGCGGATAGGACGTAGGCTAGTTTGGGGCCGCCCCAGTCAGACCTTTTGAATATTGCTAAAGGGAAATACGGGCAAACAAGTTCGTTTTTCTTCCTCAGTCCTGACGATGACGGTAGTGACGTCAGCACGATGACATATTTATTCTCCTGCCCTTTTCCCAGTCACCTGAGGTTGGTGCAACATGTTTTCTCCTTTCACACTCCTCTATCATATAACATTTCTTCGCTCACTTCTCCTCTTACACACATTGTCTTTCACGCAATCCATCGTTTCTTCTTAGGTCTACCTCTTCCTCTATATCCTTCCACATTCATAGTTAACACTCTCTTACCAACCTCGTTTTCATTTCGTCTGATCACATGTTCATATTATTCCAAACTTCATCCTCATCAGCACGATGACGTCACGATAAAATCAATTCTGCTGATCTAGTTCTCATCTACGCTTACTTATATTCGGACGTATCCCTGTGCGCGGAATGCGTCTTTAGATGGTGCATCAGCGCTCTGTGAGAACGATAATGCGTCCTGCACGTGTGGCATTGAGCTCCGCCGCCGTGAGCGCTCGAATTGTGTGAGTGCAAGCCGGATTTGCTCTTATACACTTTAGCGCAGAGCTCACAATTGTATGTGACGGGCGTCGGCTTGTGTTTCGTTCTGAAACGATACGATCGCAATATGGAAGGTAGAAGCACCATCAGTGTAAGGATTACTATCTCAGTGTATTAAAAGTGTCCGCTTAGAAGATCCGGCCAGAAACTCAGTGGGTTGTGTCTATCGACTAGTTCGCACGTCGAACTCTTCGTCGTGGTCGACGGGTTCGACGAGGACGGTGACCGGTGCTTGAAGACCCTAAAAGCACTGAGAGTGGATCCGGGGAATACGACAAGACATGTTTCAGGCACACGTCGATATGGTCGAAGTCATTTATATATTCATTAATTGAGGGTAACTCAAAAACGAACTGGTCGGATCTTGATAAAACGAGACCACACTAGGGGCATCACCTTTCGTATCAAAAATGTACAAAAATAAACATGAAAATCGGTTCCTCCTATAAAAATACTCTAACATTATTATTTTTATTGCGTAGATGTGTGGACGAGCTCGCAGCCCACCTGGTGTTAAGTGGTTATCGGAGCCCAAAATCTACAACGTAAATGCCGCCATCCACCTTTAGACATGAGTTCTTAGGCCTCATGTATTACAGTACATCAGGTGCTTCACCCTTCAAACGGAAACGCATTACTGTTTCACGTCAGAAATGGTGGTGGTACCTACCCATGAGGACGCATGCAACGCATCAAACAAAATCGAGTAACCTCAAAACCTCCTGATTCATTGAAGTCGGCTTAAAACCTTATCAATCATCATAATCAACATACCACAGTACAGCTTATATCGCGACTATATACCTTTGCTACAATAACACTTCTAGTAAACTACAAACTTACAGCATGTGGATCTTCAGGCTGCTGTTAGTGACGAAGATATTGCCGCACAGGTCACAGGTCGGCTTGTTGTGCTTCGACCTGTGGTACCTGTAACTTCGATACGAGCTGAAAACGAGAAACTGGATCAGGGCTTGTGTTTTAAATTATAATTTGCGTAATTACTGGTGGTAGGACCTCTGTGAGTCCGCGCGCTTGGGTACCATCACCCCGCCTATTTCTGCCGTGAAGCAGTAATGCGTTTCGGTTTGAAGGGTGGGGTAGCCGTTGTAACTATACTGAGACCTTAGAACTTATATCTCAAGGTGGGTGGCGCATTTACATTGTAGATGTCTATGGGCTCCAGTAACCACTTCACACCAGGTGGGCTGTGAGCTCGTCTACACATATAAGCAATAAAAAATAAAAAAAACCAGACGAGCGGACGATTCGCGTGGGAGCCAAGGCTGCAGACATTAGAAGTCAAATGTCGCGCCCCTTATCTTGAGACTCACAGACACAGCCCAATGGTTCTTCTCAGCGGATCGCGATTCCAATCCGGTGGTCGATTTTGCACTGCTCTTGCTAGGGCCAGTTTCAGCAAGTTCTCTCAGGTTGAGCCTGTGAGCTTACCTACCCATCCCCGCGTAGCTGCAATAGCCCCTTAGGCTATCAGCGAATAGGTAAAAAAATAATCTTGAGATATGTATATTGTCAAATTTGTTCAGTAAGGATCAATGAAACAAAACCTGTAATACGTTATTAACACTTCACATCTCATACTAGTTGATACTAGGATATTCCAAAAACGTTAATTTCCACTCGCTCATGTTGATTTTTATTATTGAGGGATCACTGATGGCCCGGAGGTCTTCACAGTTTCAGCAGGACAGATTGGCGAGCAGGGGCTCAGCCAGGAGGGGTGGGATTTGCTAACAGCTAACCCAGCGCTTCCAAAATACACCTAACAACTCAAGAGTAGCTGCTTCGCGAATGAGCTCGTATAGACAAACCCTTTGTTAACGCTTCGATACTAGTTGATACTAGGGTATTCCAAAAACGTACTTGGTATTGAAGTTGCACTCCCTACAATTGTAAGCAACCGCGATCGAGTCCACGTCGCCGTGGCAGTCGTTGTAGTGCTGGACCGCGCTGTAACTGTCGTGGTAGCGTTTCAGACAGATCTGACATTCGAACCTGCCGGACAAGTTGGGAGAAATTGCTTTTTGTTTTGTTTTTTATAGTTGAGAATACACTAGAATATACTAGTATTAAAATAAAGAAGAAAATACGAGACGATACCTACCTGCGCAGATGCCTCCGTCTATGCTCTCTCAGTATCGGTATAGAATTTAGAACCGAGTCGCATATATCGCAGGAGAAGCCGTTTTTGTTCTAAAACAATTAAATTTTACGTTCACTTTATCGTTCCCTATAAACACAGTGGATGCATGACATCAAGAACAGACCCCACAAATCTCGTATCGTTCTATACAGATACAATGTGTAATAATTAGTTCCTAATCAATAAATACCTTGTCATGGTGTTTCTGAATGTGGCCTTGATAGATAGTTTCGGTGGCAAAACCGACAACGCACAAGTCACACTTGTAGGGCAACTTCTGGTATTTCTCCTCGCTCCTCAGGAGCTCCCTCTCTGTCGATAGGTCCTCTTCGCTCAGAGTCACCGTCCTGATCTTCCCCTCGTGCTTCTCTACCGGCGTTTTGACCTTGCTCTTTTTGTAGTTCTTGGTCTGCAACGTACAGAATGTGGTGCAGTTTTTGACGCGTTTCCATTAGCTCATAACGGAATCTTGACCGACTTGAGACGTCCGATCGACTTAAGAATTCACGCGTACATCAAGTGACGATGACATGACAATAGTATAATAACTAGGCTCTAATATTCGACGGCCGACAGCGACAAGATAGCCAAATGAAAGCAAAAAGTAAAGTTTGCTGTTTCAACAGTTTTTTTTTAAACTACGTATATTATTTTTCTTATATCTATCCTCCATTTTCTATAGGTCCTGTGGAGACAGAGCAAAGCAACCAGACGAAACTACTGAACAATGAGAGTCAGCTGACCTAAGGGCGCTAGCATTCCTATTTTGTTCCAAAACGAACATCAAATGACATTAAAAGTAATAAAACCTGTTACCTTCTTCTTAACTCCACTGGTATTCCTTCTGGGCTTCACATCAGACGGTCCCGGATCCACCTCGCTGTCCGGTTCGATTTTAATTTCTGTTATCAGCTCGTAGTCGTCGAAACTAGATGATTTAATAGCCGTGTCCAGGTTCAAGGTATTGCGTTGAGTCATCGATGTGGTCGCCGGTATGCGAGCTTCGGTGCACGCTGCGTTTGATTCTGCATTGAATATCGACACCTGGAACAAACAGTTGTTTTTGTTGATCAGAAAATGTCATGACCCTCTGGCTCGAAGGACCATTATTTTAGTCACAAACAAAAAAGGTATAGAAAAGGTAATAATTTTATGTTAAAAAGAGAATACTTAGGCGCTATTGCATATTTTTCGACAGTATTCAGTGAAGGCTCGTTTGAGGGGTACATGTTTTGAATATATTGAAGTCATTTAACGTAAGCAGAAGTAGATCGGCTGCCAGCTTATTACGCTTTGAAGAATACGGCAATCGGTCTAATAATACAATAAAATTAAAATTTCAACTCCGTGTTTTAAAAGGGGTATCTTAAAACCTTTATATCTGTATGAATATGAATTACTAGAGCAAAATTAAATACTCCTTTTTTTAATGTTGATTATGGAGATAGTATATTGTCTTTTAGTTGTTGTTTTGAGAACTTTAGTGCTATTCCTCTAAGCATCACTCTTTATCCGACAACGCGTTTGCCAAGAGTGCTATGAATGTTTACTGAAAGTATTAGGCACATACTTAGTAGATATTATTAGCACTGATTAGCCGTATAGAAGATTATCATGTAAGACCCACTGACCGCGTCTATACAGATGCTACGCGGTCGGAAGTAAAGGCACTAACACCCGAATCCCTTTACCGCAAAAACATATCATTGTAACTCAATGGTCTACCGTGGAGGCTTCGTAGTTACAATCCTTCGCTCGCCTCTTGATGTCAACAACAGATCTGTCAATGTCATCTTCCACTTTTATGTCAGCTAGCGTTTGACATTTAGTGATGCTCAATTTGGGTTTGTAGTTTACTTCGGAATCCCGAAACGTCACACCTTCATTTCCGCTAGAGACCTAGAAAGATTTAGAATAGATTAATTTAAATTTCCATCGTAAAAAAATTTATCAGGAATATTTGAGTTTTGAGAGTGAGTGCGGTTCAAATGAGGTTTCAATCTTAAGGTGACGGTATTAAGGCTTCGATTTCAATTGCTTCCTCTCACGAATTAACACCAGATGTGTTACTTGAGTCAGTTATCCCTGATGCGTATCTGTTAGCAGTGTACAACTTCGGCACAGTTTTCGAAATGTTGCCAACTGAAAACTTTTAAATACGCTTTAACATAACTTATCTGTGCTTCGCTCATAGACTTCAGAAACGCCAATCGAGTCACTATAGTAGAGTTATTTTGTTGCTGCAGTTTGGGTCATAAAATACAGCCGGGCTAAGGCGGTGAGCATGTTGCGCGGGCGCAACGCCATTATCGATAGAAACAAATGAGTCATCGAAGGCAGTCATAGTATATATGTCGAAGAGAAATTTGTTTTTGTGCATTCGTTCTCTGAATTTCTTTAGTGACATAATGGCTACTCCTTTGTTTTGTACAAAAACGGCACAATTTATTCAAATAATATTTTGCCTGTTGGCATCAATATATCAGCACAAGCACGTGTTGTTATCAACAATGTTTTAAATTTTTTCACTAAAATGAAAATAGATCCTAAAAAGTTACAAAGTGTTAATTTCTGCCGTTCTCGTGAACAAAACTAAATACACTATCGATAACGCTTATCGACAATAATAATGCGCATCACTATGCCCGTCCATAAGGCTCGTGAGTGGAAGAGAGAGCGAAATATTCGCTTCACCGCTCCGACTTTTTATGACCCAAACTGCAGCGACAAAATAACTCTACTATAGCTACAATGAAAATAAACAACTCAGCAACGCGAAAACAAAAATACAATTTAATATTCACCTTATTTTTGAGCGCTAAAGTCCTTTTTTCAACATTTCCTATGAAATCGTGTATTAATTTCAGCACGTGATGACATATCGTACAGATTAACAAGTCTGTGACTGGAAACTGAAATTATAAACCGTCGATGGATGAACTTGCTCCCGGCTCATGGTCTAAAGTTGTAATGGAACCAATTGTAATTTGTAGGCAGCGGCTTGGCTCTGCCCCTGGCATTGCTGAAGTCCATGGGCGAAGGTAACCACTCAACATCAGGTGGGCTATACGCTTGTCTGCCTACAAGGGCAATAAAAAAAACCCTAAATACCAGCACCCGGTCTTGAGATACGAGGTGAGAGGAGAGAGAGAGAGAGAGAGAGAGAGAGAGAAAGAGAGAGAGAGAGAGAAAGAGTGGGAGAGATAGTATTCGGTAGGCAGCAGTTTGGTTCTGCCCATGGCATTGCTGAAGTCCATGGGCGACGGTAACCACTTACCATCAGATGGGCCGTATGCTCGTCTGTCGTTGCATGGGCAATAAAAAATAATTAAATACAAAAAAATACAATTGGCGTTCTTATCGCTCAGAGCGATTTCTTCCAGACAACCATCAGGTGCACAGGAATCATTAGGGAACAAATTAGAGGGTCTGTACCCATCGATTGAAATATAAACACACACACACACAACATACATATTATTGAGAAGTTAAAGGCTATTTAGTTGAAGCGACATTTTTGCAACTTTACAGGAGAGAGCCATTTAAAGTTTAAAATTTGAAATAAGTTTCATAACAAAAAAACTTCTTCAGCTATTTGAATGGAGGAAACTTAATTGAAGTTCAATTAAAAACATCGAACTGTTGATGCTGATACCGAATAAAACGGGCCTTTAATTACAAAGATAAATGTCGCGTGTTAAGCGAAGTTTAGCTTAAACCAAATAAATATATATACACATACAACATATACCTGTATATTTATGTATATATAATTAAGAATATAATAATATGTAATAATAATCGTAATTGTCGTTTAACCATTCTATGGTACCTATCCGTGTGGACTGTTGTTAAGATGTCCTACCACAAGTGATTACGCAAATTATTATTTTTCGCGACTTTGACTTATTGAACGACGTTATTCCTTCACCGACGAAGTCATTAGTAAACATTTGTTAAGTACGTATTTCGTTAGACAAATCGGTATCTGTCAGCGACTGTTTTGATTCGCGTTTTCGCTATGAAAATACAAATGTCGGCCATCTTGCTTAATGCCAATCTCCATAGACCCAAGTGTACTTGGTTAAGTAATAATTTCTCTTAATCTGATTTTTAAATTGTTTTAACACAAACAATAGAATGTAGTAAATAATTTGACGCTTTAAACTTACCATATCCTTGAAGAAAACCTCCAAAAAGGTTTTGTGTTTGCATGTTTTTAAGTTTATGAATCGGGTATTTTGCGACAGACAACACACGCATGTACATTCTAAAGGGAAATCATCTGCTATGTTATCGTTGATTACAAATTCAGAAAGATCTATTTCAAGAAATTTTGCCATTTGCTTAGTGAAATACCTAAGAAGCCAATACAAAGAAGTGCAACTGTTGTCCTGTCAAATGTATGAAAAATTAGTTCCATTCCGTTTTACCAAACATATGAAGCGGACTCTCAAACTCGCACTTGCACACTTCTCTGTCACATGACATTAACAGTGAAGTGTAATAATACAGCGTATAACGGAACGCTTATAACCGTTTTGTTTATTCACATGAAGAAAAATCAATACATTGAAAATATTTCAGTATAATAACTTCAAATTTATTTAAATAATTAAAATTTGAAATCACTGTTTGAAATTTACATAGAATTTCTTTTAAAATTGGAATTGGAGCCAATTTAAAGTTTTTAATTTCGCTGCAATATGACGAATAAAACTTTTTGACATCTGTGATGCTAATATGGTGGTTTTCAATGGCATCTTGTTTATTTTCGTAAATGAATTGATGTTTCAGTAATAGTGAATGAGATATTTATCATATTTTAACGAAACATATGAAGTTTAATATTATGGATAATCCACAAAACATAGTATGTTGCGGCTGTCTAAGCATTGGAAGAAAAATGATTAAAATAGACTTGGAGCGAAAAGAGTGTTTTCATCAAATTTTAGGTGATTTACAAGTGAGTAACGGTTTTTAAACGTAAAAAAAAATACAAAATTTCTCCTTACAAACCTTAATGTTTACTTAATTAATTACCTTAATGTTTATACATATTCATAAATTCGATATTCAGTTAGCAGATTGTTTTCAATAAGACGCCAATAGAGTATAGTTGATTAAAAAAATCATTATCAAAACTTAGGTACAGCAATGCATATGACACTACAAAAGGCAAAAATGCGCCTATTTAAAAATATATATTACACAATCAAAATAATCTTTTGATACGCCAATTAGTGGCAGTAAATTATTTTAATAGTGTTTCTCTGAATGTGTATTAATTAATCCTTAAAAAAATGTATTCATAAGAATTTTTATTATTTACAATTTAATTAATATGATGGTTAAACTTTCCTTTTGGTCTGTCGATTTTTGGGTCGGGGTGGGGGTGGTGGGAGGGAGGGGGATAAGAGTTTACCCCCGGCACCATTCCCACCCCGCGGAACCCCATGGTTATAAAGATACCCGCGGTTAATGTTTTGAGGTTAGAATAGCACCATTTAGTCAACATAGGGTTAAAATTTCAATTATGGTCCATTATTTTTGAGTTGTGGAGGGAGGGGTGTAAGGGCTTACCACTGCACCATCACCAAGCCGCAGATCCCCATGGCTATGAAGATATCCATGGTAAATTTTTTAGAGTAAAACTGCATTATTTAGTTAAACTCCAAGGGAGCTTAAGTTTGAATCCGCCTTATCTCCGGCGCTGCGGGAAGAGCAGCCCTTCCGCCCTTGCGTGCCGAAGCACGGTCACTCGTGCTCTGCTCCGCAGCTTCGGCTTGATGTTCGCCTCACACTATTTCCGTGCTCCGTCACAGCGGGCGATGACTGCTCTCCCTCCGCGCCTCCGGTTTTTTATATACACTCTAGAGGTAGGGCAGACAAGACCAGGTGGAAAGTGGGAGCTCTGATTCGGTTTTTGATATTTTTCGAATATTTTTGCAATTTTATTTCCAAAACATGAGCAATTTTACTGTTTTATATTTAAATCTTATTTAAAAAGTTAGTTTATCACAGAGACAGATAAAAAGACTCTATAAAAAAATAGGTCATTTCACGTTCCGTTCCACAGTATAAACAACATTTGTTACTTTTTGTGTTAAAAAGTCAATATAATTGCTTATTACAGAAACAATTATAATGCACATTCATTACAACAACTTAACTATGTGAATATATTAAAATAATAAAATATATTTCAGTAAAAACATGACATAAAATTTAACAAAATACACGCTTACCGTGAATGGAACATGAAACGTCAAATGTGACATCTACCTTGACAATTTTTCTGATATTTACGGAAACTTTAAAAAATTATATCTCGTAAACCGTGAGTCTCCGCAACTTGAAATTTTGCAAAAAGCTTTTTCTTTATGAGTACTATCTACAAAAATATTGTGTACTTCCAAATCGACGGACCCAAAAGGAAAGTTTAGCCAATGTGATCTGTGAGATAATAAGAATAATATACATAATCATATAAAGCAAAAACAATTTCAGACAGTAGCAGATTTCAAACTTATGTACCTATGCTGGGAATGTACTGGCCGGTTAAGCAATTACATCAAGTTCAAAAGTCAAGTGAGATATGCCCACAAATGTCTACAGGATATAGAGAAGGTGTTTATTTTTATTGATTGTTCATGGCAAATTAGTTGGTATGTTGGTATTAAGAATATTTTGCATCAACACAGTGGAATGATAGGTCTTTATAACTTAAAAAATACATCCAAACATTAGACTTTATTTACTAACTAGCGACCTGCCCTCGCTTCGCTTCGGAAACTGTAATTTATTATTGATTTCTCCACTATTTAATGGATGTTATTATACACATAAACATTCCTTTTCAATCACTCTATGTATTAAAAAAAAACCGCATCAAAATCCGTTGCGTAGTTTTAAAGATTTAAGCATACATAGGGATATAGGGACAGAGAAAGCGACTTTGTTTTATTACTGGCGGTAAGACATCTTGTGATTCTGTACGGATAGGTACCACTACCCTGCCTATTTCTGTTGTGAAGCAGTGACGTGTTTAGGTTTGAAAGACGCACCAGCCATTGTACTGTTAAACGTGAGACCCTCGAACTCATGCCTCTAATTAGGTGGTGGCATTTACGTTGTAAATGTCTATGAGCTCTAGTAACCACTTAACACCAGGTGGGCTGTGAGCTCGTCCACCCAACTAAGCAATAAAAAATAAATCTTAGAGCTAACATTGGTTAAAGTCTACATACCAGATTAAAGCCCGGGGCGAGATAGCATCATGAAAATAGCTCCACAAAAGCCATAGACGTAAAAACAAATGATCATTTGCAGGACCTAAAATTGGTATCCCAATCGAAATTGAATACCCAAAACACTTTAATAATAAATTATGATCCGGAGACCTCTGAAGAATTAGATTGGCATATCGCTGCTAGCGAAGAAAAGGAAACACTCTCCGATCAGCAATGTTCAGAAACAGAAACAGTAGTGCAACCAAAAAAGAAGATAAAGAAAGCTTCGAAGAGCAAGAGACTGATGCATCTGTACAAAGAGATAGAGTTGACTGAGAGTGACATAGAGGCCGAGAGGGATACAGAAGCCTCAAGCGATAGTTTTGTGAATGCCTTATTTAAATGCGAGAAATGCGTCGAAGCGTTTCCCAACCAAGAGGATCTGAATGACCATAATCTAAAGAAACATAATAAGGTAAGTGTTTTTGCAGTTTCATTACAGAATTGTTCCAAAGTCTTGTTGAGTATGAGAAATATGAGATTTGCCTTTTGTTATATCTCTTTTATATCTGTGGCGGTAGCCATCATACAACGCAAGATATTTGACAGATGCCTGAATCTCGCTTACGACAATTTCAAGTAAACTTTTCATATATATAAGTTCCGAACAACAACATTAGGACCGTCGGTCTACCAAGCAAAATATCACCCGCTCGGTGGAAGATCTTTTGCTTTCGTCGTTTAAGCCTCCCACACTGGTGACCTGCGACGGAACTATGCCTTCAGACTCATCATCAGCGCATCAAGAACTTCGGCTACCACAATTCCCGCATGCTCGCAGATAAAAGCAAGTCATCGACAGTCGTCTCACAGCAAGCCAGCATCGCAGCCTCAACAGGACCATCGCAGCCGACTCACCGCGCTTCCTGGTCCTACGGCACGCACCTACACGGCCTCATCACGCTACTACAGTCCATCGCAGCCCATGACCGGATCATCAACGCTTGGGGTCACACATCTCCGGCGTGGCAGCTCTGCATCACATGGACTCCGCACGATACACGCGCAGCATTCAAGCTCAGCCTCGACTCACCGCAGACTTCGAGCAGCACTGGCGACAGTCACGCAGCATTCAAGCTCAGCCTCGACTCACCGCAGACTTCGAGCAGCACTGGCGACAGTCACGCAGCATTCAAGCTCAGCCTCGACTCACCGCAGACTTCGAGCAGCACTGGCGACAGTCACGCAGCATTCAAGCTCAGCCTCGACTCACCGCAGACTTCGAGCAGCACTGGCGACAGTCACGCAGCATTCAAGCTCAGCCTCGACTCACCGCAGACTTCGAGCAGCACTGGCGACAGTCACGCAGCATTCAAGCTCAGCCTCGACTCACCGCAGACTTCGAGCAGCACTGGCGACAGTCACGCAGCATTCAAGCTCAGCCTCGACTCACCGCAGACTTCGAGCAGCACTGGCGACAGTCACGCAGCATTCAAGCTCAGCCTCGACTCACCGCAGACTTCGAGCAGCACTGGCGACAGTCACGCAGCATTCAAGCTCAGCCTCGACTCACCGCAGACTTCGAGCAGCACTGGCGACAGTCACGCAGCATTCAAGCTCAGCCTCGACTCACCGCAGACTTCGAGCAGCACTGGCGACAGTCACGCAGCATTCAAGCTCAGCCTCGACTCACCGCAGACTTCGAGCAGCACTGGCGACAGTCACGCAGCATTCAAGCTCAGCCTCGACTCACCGCAGACTTCGAGCAGCACTGGCGACAGTCACGCAGCATTCAAGCTCAGCCTCGACTCACCGCAGACTTCGAGCAGCACTGGCGACAGTCACGCAGCATTCAAGCTCAGCCTCGACTCACCGCAGACTTCGAGCAGCACTGGCGACAGTCACGCAGCATTCAAGCTCAGCCTCGACTCACCGCAGACTTCGAGCAGCACTGGCGACAGTCACGCAGCATTCAAGCTCAGCCTCGACTCACCGCAGACTTCGAGCAGCACTGGCGACAGTCACGCAGCATTCAAGCTCAGCCTCGACTCACCGCAGACTTCGAGCAGCACTGGCGACAGTCACGCAGCATTCAAGCTCAGCCTCGACTCACCGCAGACTTCGAGCAGCACTGGCGACAGTCACGCAGCATTCAAGCTCAGCCTCGACTCACCGCAGACTTCGAGCAGCACTGGCGACAGTCACGCAGCATTCAAGCTCAGCCTCGACTCACCGCAGACTTCGAGCAGCACTGGCGACAGTCACGCAGCATTCAAGCTCAGCCTCGACTCACCGCAGACTTCGAGCAGCACTGGCGACAGTCACGCAGCATTCAAGCTCAGCCTCGACTCACCGCAGACTTCGAGCAGCACTGGCGACAGTCACGCAGCATTCAAGCTCAGCCTCGACTCACCGCAGACTTCGAGCAGCACTGGCGACAGTCACGCAGCATTCAAGCTCAGCCTCGACTCACCGCAGACTTCGAGCAGCACTGGCGACAGTCACGCAGCATTCAAGCTCAGCCTCGACTCACCGCAGACTTCGAGCAGCACTGGCGACAGTCACGCAGCATTCAAGCTCAGCCTCGACTCACCGCAGACTTCGAGCAGCACTGGCGACAGTCACGCAGCATTCAAGCTCAGCCTCGACTCACCGCAGACTTCGAGCAGCACTGGCGACAGTCACGCAGCATTCAAGCTCAGCCTCGACTCACCGCAGACTTCGAGCAGCACTGGCGACAGTCACGCAGCATTCAAGCTCAGCCTCGACTCACCGCAGACTTCGAGCAGCACTGGCGACAGTCACGCAGCATTCAAGCTCAGCCTCGACTCACCGCAGACTTCGAGCAGCACTGGCGACAGTCACGCAGCATTCAAGCTCAACCTCGACTCACCGCAGACTTCGAGCAGCACTGGCGACAGTCACGCAGCATTCAAGCTCAGCCTCGACTCACCGCAGACTTCGAGCAGCACTGGCCCTTGCAAGCTAATCTCAGCACGGACGGGAGGACCCTCTCGGAGGGGAGTGATGTGGCGGTAGTCATCATACAACGCAAGATATTTGACATGCCTGAATCTCGCTTACGACATTTTCAAGTTAAGCTTGCATATATACAAGTTCCGAACAACAACATTAGGATCGTCGGTCTACCGAGCAAAATATCACCCGCTCGGTGGAAGATCTTCCCTTTGTCGTCTAACTCTTCCCAAATATCCGATTTGTGTCCCTCGCATTGCTGACTTCAAACACCGATGGTGACCGCTCACCATCAGAGACCATACTCTTCAGTAATTGATTTATCCATTTCGTAAGATCTAAGTCGGTAATTTAATACATTTCGGAAGTCATATAATGAGATTGTCTCGATCGCAAAAGTTAATTTTAATAGGTACAAAGACACAATATTATGTAGCCATTCCCGATCCTGAAGACAAAATGGAAAGCAGTCGACGTCGCCCCAAAACACGTCATTTCGGATCTTCTCGATCCACTAACGGTGCTTTTAGGTACCTCAAGCACCGGTCATCGTCCTCGTCGAACCCGTCGCTTGCGACAAAGGGCTCGACGAGTAAATTAACCCTCAGATATAGCCCACTGAGTTTCTCGCCGGATCTTCTCAGTGGGTCGCGTTTCCGATCCGGTGGTAGATTCTGCGAAGCACGGCTCTTGTTAGGGTTCGTGTTAGTAACGTCATCAGGTTTGAGCCCCGTGAGCTCACCTACTAGTTAAGGCTACGCTGATATAGCCTACCAAGGCTCTCAGCTTAGGTAGGAAAAAAAATATATGTAGCAAAATTTATAAAAATCTAAATCTAACAATGCGCACGAAACTGTATGACAGTTCTGAGTCTTCACTCTTCCTAAGTCGGGCAACGAATGTCTCTGCATCTCGATTACTCTTTATCAAAACTTCAGTGTTGCTAGCCTAGAAATGCGCTATATAGAAGATTAGTATAGTAGCTTTTAATAAAAAATAAGGTAACATTTAATTTAAAAAAACCTACAACAAAATTGAATTTTTTGTCTTCTAAATAGTTAATAACAATGAATTATCTCACTTAAATCAAATAAAAAAACATGTTTAAACATATTTAATTTTTTGTTAAATGTAAATTGTACAGTTTTCAGCCTGTCTCAAAACTTGTTGCTTTTTGGCCTACCTATTCGGTGGTAGTGGTAGTAAGGGACGATTCCAGCTTCTTCTTCTCAGCGGACGGGTAGTTGAGCTTCCGGGCTTGATCTGAGCGAGTTAGCTAACACTAGCATGAGTAGTGCTCCGCAGAATATATCATCGGATCAGAATTTTGATACTTTTGAGGACCATATCTCCTTTCTTTTTTTTTTTTTAGAGATTTTATGACCTGGTAACTAAGACCTTTAAGTCATGTCTTATTTTAATTTATATTCTTAATTTTATGAATAATGATAATATGGAGTGAAATGAAATGAAGATGATTAATTTGAGACATTAATCAACTGGGATGAAATTTAATGAAATAAGATGATATGGGATGAAATATAATCGCAGTAAAATGGTGGTCATTTACTGAGATTTTTTCAGTGGACTTTCTGGAGGAACCCGAGAAGCTACGTCCAGCAGCTTTGTTTCATTTTCCCACATTTGTGCACTTTCACAGATATTAAACAGTTAATAACCACCGTTATTACACATTTAAACCCGAAGAAACACTAAATAGACAAAATAAAACAAATCACACAACTTCACTCCTCGCGTTCCCGCCAAAAAGTCCCATTACAATGTCAAGTAAACACCCGCCAGCGAGATTCGAACTTAGGCACCCCGCTTCGCCCGAGCACACCGGCCGCCTTAACCTCCAGGCCGCGTCTCCTTCACCGGAGCCTTAATCCAGACGACATTCAATTTTCAGAGGTTACGTTTCAGCTGTCTGGTGTGCGAGTGCTATTTCGGAACCGCAGCGGCTCTCTCATACCACGCGAACAAGCACAGGATCCGTTATCAGTGCAGGTCGTGCCGCACGAGGTTCGGGACCAAATCGAAGGTGCTATCACACCACGCCCGAGAACACAGGTGAGCGACCTCCCAGCAGCTACCCCCCCCCCCTCTCCCCCGCCCCAGGCAAACAGCTGATCGCCCCCTCTTTATTTCCAGCTCGAAACCGGATGACCAATGCGCTGATAGCGAAACTACCCCGAACGGAGTGGCAGGCTTACTGAGTGAAGCGAAAAGGTGATTGTAAGATTTTTTTTAGCTAGCTGTAGTGCGTTTCGTTGATGTCCACGGGCTCCGGTAACGTAAGCTTTGAAAAAAAACATTCGCTTCTTTTGGTGTGCTGACAACCTTATTTTTAAATACTAATCATATAACGATGCCTCCCGTAGAACACAATTCTAGGGCTGGCTGAAGAATAGTTTGTATGTTCTGAGTATATTTTATTGAAAAACTTTATTTACTTGGCAATATTCATTTATTTGTCCTATCGATAATTGAAGACACGAGTGGATGAAGGGTATATTTGTTAATTTTGAGAAAACGGGCAACAAGCTTATGTTATTTGTCCTTTTTCTTCGTACATAACTCCTTCATCACATGAAATTTTTAAAAATATCCTTTAAACCCGGAGTTTTAAGGTTTAATATGGTTTATAGGCACACAACACCTTCATTTAAAGTAAAAACTCAAAAATCTTAAATATAGTACTTAACCCCTTCATCCACTGATGTCTTCATCTGTAATAGAATACTATCTACAACTTTTTTTGAACACCCTGTATATACGTTGTACATTGTAATTATGGAGGGTAGAAGTAAGGAGCGCCATCTTGTATAGGGGATAAGTTGAAAAAGTGTCGACCTGTAGACAGCGAGTTAGTGTTGGAAGACTCACCGAAATAGCGCTAGTGTAAGAAGTGGAAATGATGTGAATATATCAGTTTTAAACAGAGTGAAGTGTGTTGGATTGAAATATATTACATTTTTTGTGACTTGTGTAATTAAAAAATATTCAGTACTTATTTAAAGTCTCAACTTTTTATTATTATTATTTACGTAGGCAGTGGTTATTTCATTCTTAATTTAGTATCTAACTCTAATAGCTTATAGCACTATTTTTTATTCCAATCTTTCCACTTACTACTGTGGCGCCATCTTAATTAGCTGAATCTGAAAGGGATTCAGCGGACACTTTTAATACGCTGAGATGGTGCTGTTTATTTCTACCCTCCATTACTCTAATCTTTCCGACACATCGTCCATTATGTCGGTACTGTATCTTACGTTCTCAACTAGATGGAGCTACTAGCTAATGTCGTTTTAGTGTCGCTCTCGACCAATAGATGGCTCTGGTTGTCACTATGTGTGCGATAGCTAATACTCGATCGTGATTTCGCCTCCGTCCGTTTTGAAGATTGTCGATACCATTGCAGCGTGATGTTTGCGTCTAGTGGCATTAGCCCGTTGATAGGGCGACGTGTTTTTTTCTATTTATTGCTTAGATGGGTGAACGAGCTCACAGCTCACCTGATGTTAAGTGGTTACTGGAGCCTATAGACATCTACAACGTAAATGCGACACCTACCTCGAGATATAAGTTCTAAGGTCTCAGTATAGTTACAACGGTTGCCCCGCCCTTCAAACCGAAACGCATTACTGCTTCACGGCAGAAATAGGCAGGGCGGTGGTACCTACCCGTGCGGACTCAGAAGAGGTCCTACCGCCAGTAATTACGCAAATTATAATTTTGCGGGTTTGATTTTTACTATACGATGTTATTCCTTCACCGTGGAAGTCAATCGTGAACATTTGTTAAGTACGTATATCATTAGAAAAATTGGTACCCGCCTGCGGGATTCGAACACTGGTGCATCGCTACACATGAATGCACCGGTCGTCTTATCCTTTGGGCCACGATGACTTCAGAATGACGAAAATTATCGGATAGTTTTTTTATTTATTTCTTAGGCGGATGGGCGAGCTCACGGCTCGCATGGTGTTAAATGGTTACCGGAGCCCCTAGACATCTACGACGTAAATGCCGCCACCTACCTCGAGACATAAGTTCTAAGGCCTGATTTATTACAGTACATCAGGTGCTTCACCCTTTAAACGGAAACGCATTACTGTTTCACGTCAGAAATGGTGGTGGTACCTACGCATGCGGACTCACAGGAGGTCCCACCACCAGTAAACCCACCACACGCATTAAACAAAATCGAGTAAAAAACCTCCTGATTGAATGAAGTCGGCTTAAGACCTTATCAATCATCATATTCAAGTTTTAACAGTACAACGGCTGCCCTACCCTTCAAACCGAAACGCATTACTGCTTTACGATAGAAAGAGGCAGGGTAGTGGTACCTACCCGTGCGGATTCAAGATGTCCTACCACCAGAAGATGGCGCTCTTTTCAACATATTTTTTTTTAAATAATTCCAGAGCGAACGGTAAGCCGGTGTGCGTCCCGTGTAATAGAACGTTCTCATCCATAGCCACGTTCAAACAGCACATGAAAATGAGCATGAAACACGTCCCCGAAAACGATTTTAAGTGAGCATAAGAACATTTGACGAAAGTACAATAATAATAATAATAATAAACCCGTGCGGATTCACAAGAGGTCCTACCACCAGTAATTACGCAAATTATAATTTTGCGGTTTGATTTTTATTACACGATGTTATTCCTTCACCGTGGAAGTCGATCGTGAACATTTGTTAAGAAAGTATTTCATTAGAAAAATTGGTACCCGCCTGCGGGATTCGAACACTGGTGCATCGCTCAAGACGAATGCACCGGACGTCTTATTCTTTTAGGCCACGACGACTTCATATGCTTTAAGGGGCATTAGCCCTGAGTGTTACCGTAACGTTTAAGGACGTTTGAGGGATTGTTTCAGCGCGGGCCCTTACTCGTGCGAGATTTGCGAGAAGAAGTTCCGCTGGACCACGTCGCTCCGCAAGCACATGGAGACCCACCGCATCGAGAGGGGGCAGAAGAGGAAGCCGTACTGCGAGTCTTGCAGGTCGAGATCCTGTTGTCAGCACTGATGAGTTATAGGAACGGGCTATGGAATGAGCTCCCCTCCACGGTGTTTCCCGAGCGCTATGACATGCCCTTCTTCGAACGAGGCTTGTGGAGAGTATTAAGCGGTAGGCAGCGGCTTGGCCCTGCCCCTGGCATTGCTGAAGTTCATGGGCAACGGTTGCCACTCACCATCAGGTGGGCCGTGCGCTCGTCTACCTACAAGGGCAATAAAAAAAAAGGGACGAGCTGTGTGTCACAGCTCATGAGATTGCTGGGGCATACTCGGACTAGTCCCATCTTAGGTTCCAAAACATTGAGGTCGAGGTTTCGCAATAAAACAACATTATTCATTAAATTATAACTGTTAAAGGCACTTAATTTCACTAGGGGTGCCGCAGTAGTCGAAATTCGACTTGAAATCATAAGTTTGAGCATTATCGTGGTTCTATTCTGAAAGACTTACTTCTATAATCACACATGTCGCCAAGACTACACTATAGACAAATAATATTAAAGGTAAACAATATTAATCTATTCTCAATTTGACCACAGATTTTAAGCAAAAACAATAGATTGACAATAAACAAAGAGTTTATATATATATGTGTGTGTCAAATACATGGTAGTGTGTGTAATGTTTTTCTTATTGATTTAATGTATTATTATTGCATAATTTAAAAAAAATATTTGCATGTGCGCTCCTTCTCTATATTCTCTATAAGTGTGGAAAATTTCATACTCCTCCGCGCAATTTTCGTAAAAAGAGGTACAAACTTTGCTTCACGTATTAATATATAGATTAAAACTATAACATAACGATAATAACGGTTCTAGTTGAATGCTGTACAAAAATTTCTAGTTGTGTCCTCTCAGATTATCCTTCACGACGTCCGCGAACCTCAGGAAACACGTGAAGACCAGCTCGAGGCATCAGATTATATTGAAACTAAGGTACGTAAAAATGCATTGACAATGTCGATGTTCAGTTGTCAACGGTCCTTGTGACTACCGTCAATGTTATTAAATGAATGGAAATAATAAAAAAAGTGTCCAATCGTAACGTAATCGCAACGTGCAATACGGGATAGGTGATCGAAAATAAATAACAGTTTTAAAAAACGATCAAAATACGCTTTATTAGAAAATTCAACTAAAAAATAGAAAATATTTTAATTAGAAAATAATATATAACTATACTGAGACCTTACAACTTATATCTCAAGATGGGTGACGCATTTACGTTGTAGATGTCTATGGGCTCCAGTAACCACTTAACACCAGGTGGGCTGTGAGCTCGTCCACCCATCAAAGCAATAAAAAAAAATAAAAAAAAATTATAAATTTGAATTTAAAATAGTGTAAGAAAAAATGATTTTATTGTAAAAAAGTGTGGGGTGCTTTTCAGGATATTATTATCAAAATAACCCTTCTACTCATATCTGTTCATAAAATATTTATAAGTACTGATACCATGCACCCCACGCTTTTTTTTTTACAATAAAATCATTATTTCTTACACTATTTTAAATTAATTTTTTTTTTCTATTTTTTAGTTTGATTTCCTATAAAAGCGTATTTTGTTAGTTTTTTTAAACTATTATTTATTTTTTATTTTAATATTGAATTGTCATCGGTCCTCTTAATCAGTATAGGTACCAAATTTCGAGTTAATCCAACGTTTTGAAGGGTGTCAAAATCATGTTCAAAGATTCCGTTACATACTAACATACATACGTCTGAAGCTAATAAAAGCGTATTAGAGAACTGTCCAATCGTAACGTAATCGCGACGTGCAACACGGGATAGTTGATGGAAAATAAAGGCACTTCTAAAACTTTGTCGCTCTGTGGTCAGGAAGTTGGACGTGCACGCGGAGGACTCTCCCGAGAACCAAGCCCGGCTCGAGGAGATTCGTTGCTCTGTGACCGAGTCGAAGCAGCAGCACTACTGTCCGGAGTGCGACAAGAAGTTCCTGTGGCGCGGCAACCTCCTGAGGCACCTGAAGAGTCACCAGGCAAGGTACGGTGCTGTCGGCGGATCTGTGTTAGCGTAATTACAGTTCGCACCCTCGGCCAAGAGATGGCGCTAACTTCAATTTTAAACAAACGCTAAAACGATATAGTCAAAGAAAAAAAAATTTTTATCGCCTAGATGGGTAGGCGAGCTCACAGTCCACCTGGTGTTATGTGGTTACCGGAGCCCATAAACATCTACGACGTAAATGCGGCACCCACTTTGAGATATAAGTTCTAAGGTCTCAGTATATTTACAACGGCTGCTCCACCCTTCAAACCGAAACGCATTACTGCTTCACGGCAGAAATAGGCAGGCCGGTGTTACCTTACCACCAGTAATTACGCAAATTATAATTTTGCGAGTTTGATTTTTACTACACGATGTTATTGCTTCACCGTGGAAGTCGATCGTGAACATTTGTTAAGAAAGTATTTCATTAGAAAAATTGGTACCCGCCTGCGGGATTCGAACACTGGTGCATCGCTCAAGACGAATGCACCGGACGTCTTATTCTTTTAGGCCACGATGACTTTACAATGACGAAAATTATCGGATAGTTTTTTTATTTATTGCTTAGGCGGGTGGGCGAGCTCACGGCTCGCATGGCGTTAAATGGTTACCGGAGCCCGTAGACATCTACGACGTAAATGCCGCCACCTACCTCGAGACATAAGTTCTAAGTCTCAGTTTTAACAGTACAACGGCTGCCCTACCCTTCAAACCGAAACGCATTACTACTTTACGATAGAAAGAGGCAGGGTGGTGGTACCTACCCGTGCGGATTCAAGATGTCCTACCACCAGAAGATGGCGCTGTTTTCAACTTTTTTTTTTAACAATTTCAGAGCGAACGGTAATCTGGTGTGCGTCCCGTGTAATAGAAAGTTCTCATCCATAGCCACGTTCAAACAGCACATGAAAATGAGCATGAAACACATCTCCGAAAACGATTTTAAGTGAGCATAAGAAAATTTGACGAAAGTACAATAATAATAATAATAATCCGTAATTGCAGAAATGTAGACACGTCGTGTCTATAGCAAAAAAATTATTACGGCACGAAGACCAATTTAAACAATTTACGCCCGACAAAAAATCAGTTCGGCTCGAAGGGACAAATAATGCAACTGAAACAATTTAGTTTAATGAAATTTCTGTTTGTTTGTAAGTCTGCAACCATAAGAGTCTGTTAACGAGCTTAGTAACAGGGAGACTGTCTAGCGCGTGAATATGAAATCGATATAGTTTAAGTATGTAGGCAAGCTCAAGGCGCATCTGGTGGTAAGTAGGTCCGGAGCCCATACTCATGACAGCCCGATACCTATCTCCAAAATCGAAACATAAGATCGAAGTTCGAAGCTCATTATCCAATGGCTACCCCGCCCTCCAATCCAAGAAATGGGCGGGAAGGTAGTGCATACCCGGTCAAGCTCACAACCTCACAAGTCATAATCTAATGAAGACACCTAAAGTCCAATAACCATGCCCGTCAACTGTTTTAAAACACCCTAAAAGACGCGTTCACGTGACGCTGACCATGGGCTCACGCGCAAAACCAATTAAATATTTCGTTCAAGCTACATGTGCAGCGACTGCGGGAACAAATTCGTGAACAAAACCCGCCTCAAGGACCACATCAATTGGGAGCACCTCAAGAACTATATTCACAGATGCTCAGACTGCAAGAAGGTAAGCCGGCTCAAACTCAGACGGTCTGTCAATTTGTCAATCCGTCAACATATCAATATGTCAATTTGTCAATTAGTCAACTTGTCAATCTGTCAAGTCAGACGTCAGACGCGCGCTTACGAGCATCCGTGGTGGGAGGAATAGCATCACGTAACGAAAAACGTCTGAGGAATAACCCGAGATGCAATCGGGATTTCGCCCTCTCGTCCCAAAGTGGGTGAAGGCAGTTAACCCTTTGACTGCCAAGCAGGTCACCGGTGCCCTACGCGGCGCATTAAATTATGACGATCTCTATTTCTAGGGCGCCCGAATATCTAGCATTTTCTTTTTTATTGCTTAGATGGGTGGACTAGCTCACAGCCCACCTGGTGTTAAGTGGTAACTGGAGCCCATAGACATCTACAACGTAAATGCGCCACCCACCTTGAGATAATTTTTTTTTATTGCTTAGATGGGTGGACGAGCTCACAGCCCACCTGGTGTTAAGTAGTTACTGGAGCCGATAGACATATACGACGTAAATGCGCCACCCACCTTGAGATGTAAGTTGTAAGGTCTCAAGTATAGTTACAACGGCAGCCCCGCTCTTCAAACCGAAACACATTACTTCTTCACGGCAGAAGTAGGCAGGGCGGTGGTACCTACCCGCGCGGACTCACAAGAGGTCCTACCACCAGTCTCTCTCTCTCTCTCTCAAAGTTAAGCAATCCAGGCCCTTTAGTAGTACTTACTTTTAGGTGTTCAAGACCCGCACGTCCCTGTACTTGCACCGGCAGATGGTCCACAAGGAGATGTCTGACAATCATCTGTGCGATCACTGCGGGAAACGGTTTCCGGTAAAAACATCATTCTTTTTTGACGTGATAACATCTTATAGTGAATCTATGAACACCGGCTGCGCGCACGAAAAAGTGTCACGTTCCTCCCAAGCCCGAGCGTGCGAGCGATAGAGACACACGCTCGGCCTGAGCGTTAATTTATCGAAAATTTTGTAATTTTCAAATAATTCCTTCTTTGTATTACACAAAATAATGATAATTCAATTAAATTCATAAAAGTACACAATTTTTCATCAATGTTTCTTTATGATGTTATCACGTAAAACTATCGTCCGTAAATCGGCTTTACATACAACCAATTATTATTTTTTGTCATTATCATCATCATCTGTCATTGTTTCGGTTACTGACTACCCAACCTCAATAAGTTCGACTCTTTACGTTCCATTCATATTCGCAATGCCGTGTCTAATAATTATTAAGTCTGCTTTTCTTCACAAGTTTATTACCCGTCCGCAGAGTCAGGCCAGGCTTCATTATCACATAACGGCTCTACACAACAAGGAGACTCCGTACAAATGCACCACGTGCTCGGCGAGATTCAGCTGGCACTCGTGTCTCACTCGACACGTTCGGACCATACACTCGAAGGAAAAGAAAAGCGCGACTTAACAAAAGATAAATGTGAATTATTAAAAGATAAGCGCGACTTAGCAAAAGATAAATGTGACTTAATAAAAGATAAGCGCGGCTTAATAAAAGATAAATGTGACTTAATAAAATGTAAGCGCGGTTTAACAAAAGATAATAAATATAAGTGTATAAAAATATGAAAAAGTGATTCTCTACTTTCTATCATCTGTGTCAGTAGCGACCAATACGCCACAAAAATTAGGATAAATATGTTATGTGAATTCGTAAAAGATAAATTTGTACTAATAAAAGATAAATCAGTCGTCTCATAAAACAATAAAACTTATATTTTACTTTGTTTTATTTGTATCCCTTAATAATAATAATAATAATGGTCATGTTACGCTCTACTGGGACCGATCTATTATCACGGATAGGTATATTGTAGCCAATAAACCTGATATTGTGATAATAGATCGATCTGCACGTCGAGCAGTGTTGGTTGATGTCACCATTCCTCATGACGAGAACCTCGTGAAGGCAGAAAAGGACAAATTAATAAAATATTTAGACCTGGCCCACGAGACTACCGCCATGTGGCATGTTGATTCAACCATCATTGTTCCAATAGTTGTGTCGGTACACGGCTTGATGGCGAAAAGTTTCGATCAACATCTTAAGAAACTTTCGTTATCCAGCTGGGTTAAGGGCCTAATACAGAAAGCAGTTATCCTTGATACTGCACGCATTGTGAGGAGGTTTCTCACTCTGGAGTCCTAACCACTGGTGGCTTGTGTCGTAGACACCGCCATCAGCGGCAATCTATTTTTATATAGTGTTTTTTAAAAATTGTATTTTTAATATCTTTTTTAAAAAATATTATGTAATTAATAAGATTTTAAATAAATATAAATAAATAATAATAAAACATTTATTTCAGAAAAAATCCATAAAATAATAATAATACAATAGTCAGCACACAAACAGTTCAACAATACAAATAGAAAATGAACAATATACTAATTCAATTAATTAAATATACAAAGGAAATGAATTAGAAACACATAATTATATCAATACAGTAGTAACCACTCTATGTCAATATTAGCTATCATTATGTCAATCAGTCAATTAATTTGGAGAAAAAATAAAATACCTTATAAATACTCAAAACGATATTCATACATGTGTTGTATCTATACTAATATTATAAAGAGGAAAGATTTGTTTGTTTGTTTGTTTCGAATAGGCTCCGAAACTACTGGACCGATTTGAAAAATTCTTTTTCCATTAGAAGCCGACATTGTCCCTGATGAACATAGGCTACTTTTTTTTAATTTTTTTTTTTGGTTTCATGTGTGTTTTAATGTTTCCGAAGCGAAGCGAGGGCGGGTCGCTAGTCATACATATGTTTACAGATGTAGTGAGGAATTATTTTCCACCATAATAATTATTACTTAAAACGGGATATTTATCAGTACAATGTACCATACGAAATGAGTTCCCGATATTTTTAAGTAATAATAATTCTTATGTTCGTGATCATGTTAGTTTAAAATCATAATTATGTTACAACCACCTTCTGTAACTTTGAAAATCCTCCGTTTTTTTTATTTATTTTTATTGCTTAGATGGGTGGACGAGCTCACAGCCCACCTGGTGTTAAGTGGTTACTGGAGCCCATAGACATCCAGAACGTAAATGCGCCACCCACCTTGAGATATAAGTTCTAAGGTCTTAGGTATAGTTACAACGGCTGCCCCACCCTTCCAACCGAAACGCATTACTGCTTCACGGCAGAAATAGGCAGGGCGGTGGTACCTAACCGCGCGGACTCTCAACAGGTCCTACCACTAGTAATTACGCAAATTATAATTTTGCGGGTTTGATTTTTATTACACTTTATGTTATTCCTTCACCGCGGAAGTTTTTTTTTTGTTTTTTTTTTATTGCTTAGATGGGTGGACGAGCTCCCAGCCCACCTGGTGTTAAGTGGTTACTGGAGCCCATAGACATCCACAACGTAAGTGCGCCACCCACCTTGAGATACAAGTTTTAAGGTCTCAAGTATAGTTACAACGGCTGCCCCACCCTTCAAACCGAAACGCATTACTACTTCACGGCAGAAATAGGCAGGGTGGTGGTACCCACCCGCGCGAACTCACAAGAGGTCCTACCACCAGTGAAAGTCAATCGTGAACATTTGTTAAGTACGTATTTCATTAGAAAAAATGGTACCCGCCTGCGAGATTCGAACACCGTTGCGTCGCTATGTACGAATGCACCGGACGTCTTATCCTTTAGGCCACGATGACCTAATACCGTAACTTTAAAATAATCCTCTTAACATTTATAATATCGAGGGGTGCGACATTTCGCCTATTACTCGACATTTCACTACATAATATAAAACAAAGTCGCTTTCTCTGTCCCTATATCCTTATGTATGCTTAAATCTTTAAAACTACGCAACGGATTTTGATGCGGTTTTTTTTAAATAGATAGAGTGATTGAAGAGGAAGGTTTATATATATGATAAATTAAATTAAATTAAATAAGCCTTTATTGCTGTTAAAAATTTACAATGCTTATATCTAAATATTATATATATATATTTTAATGCTAGGAAACAGCTTGTCTCTCGACATAGGCCTCCTCTAATGTTTTCCACAAGGTCCTGTCCTTTGATTTTCTCAGCCACTCTCCGCCAGCTATTCTTTTGAAATCATCTTCCCATCTTTGATTTTTTCTGCCTTTACTTCTATGGCCATCTCTTGGGTACCATTCCGTTACATTCTTTGTCCACTTTTCTTGTGTCTCTTTAATGGATGATATATATGATATCATCCATTAAATAGTGGAGAAATCAAGAATAAATTACAGTTTCCGAAGCGAAGCGACGGCGGGTCGCTAGTATCTTTATAATTAGAGGTTCATTATTTGATATCGGCATCGATAATTCGATGTTTTTAATTGAACTTTAAATAAGTTTACTCCATTCGAATAGCTGAAGTATTTTTTTTGTTATGATATTTTTTCCAAAATTTTAAACATTAAATGGCTCTGCTGTAATGTTGCAAAAATGTCGCTTAAACCAAATAAATAGCCTTTCACCACTTGAGATGTATTAAAACATTCATTCGTCTGTAAAGTCGGTTTACGGACGATAGTTTGACGTGATGACGTCAGCAGCAGAACTATTTGAGCTGCTAGCTCTGACGTCACGCGAGAAAAGAGATAAATGTGTCACAAGCCAACGCTTGAGCCGATCGTGCCTCTCGCTCGCACGCTCAGGTTCGGGCGGAACGTGACATTTTTTCGTGCGTGCAACCAGTGTTCGATCGATTTAAGAGACCTTGTCACGTCAAAAGGTACGGATTTCCGTGTTCATATTTAATTCATAGATTCTTATAATGTATTACAACAAATTTTTGAGCAAACTCGGGACAAGTTTTTGTTAACACGCTATCGACGTCTTTATCGAAGCAATTAATGCGATCGTTACAATAAAAAAAACCATTGAACACGGACGCCAACAAGAAAAATCGAATAAATTTAAATGTAGGTACATAATATGCATTAAATATTATGTCGTAATCCTTACGATATGTTACGTACTCTTGCCCAGTATATAATTCAAATTACAGTGAATACTCATATAACATTCGTGAATGTTTAACTATATACAAACATCCCTCTAAGCTTCTCTACAAATCCATGCTAATATATAAATCTACAGTGGTTTTCACGGATGTTCCGTTATAACTAGTGAACCGTGCATCCGATTGACTTGAAACTTGGTATCCATGTAGAAAATACATGTACTTAATGGATAGGCTAATATTTATATGAGTGTTGGACTCCCTACATCAGTTGCGGGGGAATTAATGATGAGAATCTTTGTGGGGGTGAGAAATAATATGTTAATTTTAAATGCCCAGCGAAGCGGACAGGTACATCTTCTATAAAGTCTCAAGCATCATTATCGTCGTGAAACGGAATTGGATGGAGTTCGACGAGTAAACTAATTGAGGATCTTCTCAGTGGGTCGCGATTCCGTTCCGATGGTAGACTCGCCGAAGCACCGCCCTTGTTAGAGTCAGTGTTAGCAAACTCCCTCAGGTCGAGCTCGTGAGCTCACCTATCCGTCCGCGCGTAACACGAATAGCCCCTTAGGCTATCAGCTGTTTAAATAAGCTCGGTGGAGTGGTTCGCGAGTCGCTCTGTCTATTTTCTCAATCTCGCTCTGCCTAAATTTTATCTTTCCTCTCTAGCCGTAACGAATCTGTCGCGAATTAAATTTTACTATAAACGCGCCTAAAGAAGTTTCACTTTTAAAAGTCTAACCTAAAAAGATTACCTCCTTATTTTTTTTAAAGTCGATCAAAAACCATGACCAAGAAACAAGGAAATTCTAAATACTAAATTAATTCACTGCAAAATCTTATACACTGTGTACACACGCGTTTTTTCTTATATTACTTAGACGGGTGGACGAGCTCACAGCCCACCTGGTTTTAAGTGGTTACCGGAGCCCATAGACATCTACAACCTAAATGCGCCACCCACCTTGAGATATAAGTTCTAAGGTCTCAGTATAGTTACAACGGCTGCCGCACCCTTCAACCGAAACGCATTACTGCTTCACGGCAGAAATAGGCAGGGCGGTGGTACCTACTCGTGCGGACTCGCAAGAGGTCCTACCACCAGTAAACACAGTACCAACTTATGTTTTATGTTCAAGTTTATCAAAACATCTATTGTTATTGTGTTATATACACTTGAAGTAATGAATTAGTGCTGGGTGTTTCCGGACGTGAAAACGTAACTCGTTTATCGTGGTAAAAAAAAAAGTTGTCAGATCTCGGGTTTTTTTTTTAATTTTTTTTTTATCACAGGCATCGACTGACTGACCTTAAATTGTTTGCCGTCTAAATTGAAATTAAAGTAATTAGTTATGTATCTACTCTCTCTGTGCGCACAGAGGAATTTAAACTAGTTTATTTTTATAACACGCTTTTAATAGCTTTGGTATGTATAATATGTGACCTATTTTTTTTTTCCTTATTGTGTAGATGGGTGGACGAGCTTACCTGGTGTTAAATGGTTACTGGAGCCCATAGACATCTACAACGTAAATGCCGCCACCCACCTTGAAATATGAGTTCTCAGTATAGTTACAACGGCTGCCCCACCCTTCAAACCGAAACGCATTAATGCTTCATTTGCTTGCTTGTTTTCGCATGATACCAAATCGCGTTTCAGCCGTGTATAACATCTTAACCTTATATGTTGACATCATAATCAACAACACAATGCTACCGTTTACAAGACAGCCAATCACAGCG